AAAAAAAAAAAAACCAACAACAAAAAAAAAACTAACATACTGTGCTGAGCTGGGGAAGGAAAAACTGAAGACCCGTTGTCAGCTAGTATCTATAGACTGTCTGAAGACAGTGCTTTTCAGAAATAAAGTCTCAGGTCTTGTTAGACTCCCGGAAAACTCAAGTATCCAGGGTCCCAGGCCACGTCTTCCGTCACCCCAATCACCAGGCGGATTCGAGAGCTTGCTGCAAACTGCATGAGGCTTTATTGTAATTTAACGAGCTACCCCCATGTTAGCCCAGGCCTTCCATCCCCCCGCCATGGCGGATGGCTAGCAAAGACAGTTTGAAGCCGCTGCGCACAGATCTTATAGGGCAGGGTGGGGGGCATGTCTAGGGGTACGCACAGGCTCAGGATTGGTGTGCCTCCAGGCTTGGAGGGTTTGCCCTGTGTTGATTGGTCAACTGGTTGTTATGGCTCTTAGGCCCTCCCAGGGTGGTTGCTATGCTCTCTGCGTCATTGCTGTGTGCTTGTCCGTAAAGCTCACCCAGGGTCGTAAAGCACAGCACCACCAGCTAACTTCTGATTGTTTCCTTGTCACGAGGCAGGCATCTGACTTTCTAGTGTCTAGGACAAGGTCATAGAAGCACGTGTTCGGCTGTTATGGCTGCCAAAAGGGAAGCTGGTCCCTTCAGTCTCAGGGACAAAGTCTTTCTGCCATCTATAACGATATATCTTTCCACCAGCTGCCTGGGTTCTGCCACCGCCTTAGAGCCCCTGAATAACACACAGAGTCTTATATCAGTTACGTTGCTGCTGGACAATGACTAGGATTTATTTGTTAGCTCAGTCTTAATTACCAACCATAACTACCAATCTATATGTTTTTATAAGGACTTATCTTACCCAGAACTCCAGCCTTATGTGTCCTCTCTTCCTGGGATCACATGGAGACTCTCTCCCTTTCCTACATTTCCCAGAATCCTCCTCCTCTCCTAGTCCTGCCTAACTTGCTTCCCTATTGGCCAACAGTGCTTTATTTATCAACCAATAGGGCAAACACGTACACAGGACACCCTCATTAGTCATCAGTGAATTATTTTTAGAAAGCATTTGATTTCAGGGACTTTTAGGACTTTGAGTGAATTATGAGATATTAACTGATGTCTCCAACCTTTTTATCTCATGATACAAATATAAAATTCAAGGTTCAGGGAACATCAAATTCTTCTTTTCAAAAATAATTTTTATTTTTAAGAACTTCACACATAAACACCAACTGCATTTATCACATCTGCACCACCCTCCCCCCCTAACTTCTCTGTCCTCCAAATTCATGATGTCCCCTTATTGTAATTATTATTATATGTACACGCACACACATGCATGTGTACATACAAGGGACTGAGTCCGTTTAGCCTTCTCATTTGTGCCCAGTACTGGCTGTGGGAGGCACACCGAGGACACTCTCCTAGGACACTGTCCTCTGCTTCTGGCGCCTACAGTCTTCCCATCTCTTACTCCTCCACGACTTTCAAGACTTAGAGGTTGGAGACCTGTGCAGATGGATTGATAGACTTGGGCCCCCAGGGCTTTAGTCTCTGAATTTTGACCAGTTGTAGATCTCTGTGGCAGTCTCCACCTGTTGCAAAAAAGACTCTTTGAGAACACCAAAGGCTCAAAGAAAACCACAGTGTCTTAGTTCATGAACTCCACGGGACAGTTCCTTTCCATTTTGAATTCTTATTTCGAGGCTCATTGTCTTGATCTCATGTTCCTCACAGAGAACTAAGCCTGCTGGCTCCTCACCAGAAGGCAAGAATTTGGCTCCCTGGGAATGGGGGAGGGGCTGAGGGAGTGGGGATGCAGGGGTGGTTCCTTGTTAAGACTTCAGTGTGGATGCATTCATTCCCATGGCCACTTATCTGCGTTCTGTGAACAGTGGACAAACCCTCTGAGAAAGTTTTGTGTATTTAGGATCTCTGTTATTGGGGGCATATGTATTTGGAATTATTTCCTTTTGCCTAAAAGGAGGTAAGAGTGACATTTGGAAGTCATTACCTGTTGTAAGTTTCAGGTAAAAAGTTAACATTTTTTAATATTATTTTGATTTTGGAAAGTTATAGAAAAATAACAGAATAATAAAAGCATATAGAAAATATATTTTAATTCGTGTGAATATATCCATGTAGCTTGATACAAACACCTTCATATTTCCTATCTTAATAAAATACGGTTTCTAAATAAAATTAATCATGCCATTGATATAGTGGACTTGTTGACTGGGTGCTCTCGTGAGCAGAGAGTTTTTGGTTCGACAGTGTTTTATTTATTATTCAGGACTAACAGCCAGTTAAGTACCTTCTGCCTTTGCACTAATTTCACTTACACATTTCTACAGTGCTTTTAAGTCCGTGTTATTTGTTAAAAATGCGAAAAGGTTGCAGAGTGCACACGCGTGTCCATAAAACAGAAGGATCTTCTTCTTCTAGGTGTTTGGGATCCTTAAAGCGCCTTTCAAGGAGAAGGCGGGAGAGGGCTCGATGCTGAGGCTGGAGGACCTGGGCGACCAGCGCTATGCCCCCTACAAGTACGTGCTGCGCCTCTGCTACCGCGTCCTGCGGCATTCCCAGCAGGACTACCGCAAGAACCAGGTGGGTAGGGAGCCCGCGCCCTGGTGTTGGTGGCTGTTAAAGTATAGACCGAGGAGTCAGAACTCGAACTTTGCAAAGAAGGGCTTTATGTGGGCGGCTCAGAGAACCGTCCGTGAGGGCTGTTGAGCCGGACAGGAGTTTGACTTGCAGGCGGGGATGCTGCGCTTCTGGGCATGGTCCCGGAGGGCTCCTGCTGAGCAGGGTACCCTGGCCTGTGCCTGGGAGGTGCAGCCTTGCTGTGTGCCTGCATACCTACTAAGATACCATCTGTGGCCAAGATTCAACCTGCACCTGAAACAGGAGGAGGGACTGAGGGGAGGAGGGATGGGATGGGGGCAGAGGAATGCGATGCTCGACGCTCAGGCTGGCGAGCTTGAGTGGTGGGGGCTGGGAGCCGTCTTCATGACCGTATGGAACATGCATTTTAGGGAGACAGGATAATCGGTTTGGTTACTTTTCTTCCCTGTGACCATAAATTATCGACAAGAAGAAACTCAAGGGAGCGAGGGCTTATTTGGACCCACATTTGAAGGTGTCCAGACTGTCATGGAGGGGAAGGCACAGGGCGACCCCTCGCCTCTTGGAAGACAGGAAGCGAGAGCAAACAGGAAGTTGGGTTATAAAACCCGCAAGGCCTATCCCCAGTGACCCACTTCCTCCCGGAGGCTCTACCGGGAGGCTCAGACTTCCACAACTCCTACCCCTGCTGGGGACCACGTGTTCTGATGCATCTGCGCATGCAACAGGGTTAGGACATCAACAAGGTCGCCGTGGTCATAGGGCAGCCTGAACTGTGGAGGAGAGTGGGCGGCTTGTGTGGGTCCAGGGATGGAGCCAAAAGCTGTAATCTGCTAGTGAAAGTTATTTCGAGTCTCACTTTGTCTTACAAATATGTAGAGAGTCTAGAGAGATGTTTCGGTGGTTAAGAGCACTGGCTTCTCTTCTACAGGACCTGGGGTCAATTATCAGCACCTACAAGGCAGCTCGTGTCCAATGTCCCTTCCTTCTGGCCTCTGTTGGCACTTCAATTATCAGTGCTTACAAGGCAGCTCGTGTCCAATGTCCCTTCCTTCTGGCCTCTGTTGGCACTACAGGCACATGGGTGTACATACATACATACATACATACATATATGCAAAGTGCATAACACAACATACAGGTCATCTTTAAAAAATCTGTAATATTTGCATTGGGTTCAATAATGCAAATGTTGACATAAAGATATTTATATTATTGATGACCTGGCATTGTGTTCTCCGTGTGCTTCTTATCCAGTAGAAGGATCTGTATCACTGGTGTCTAACATTTTTTTTTTTTTTTTTTTTCCGAGACAAGAGTTTCTCTGTGTAATCCTGGCTGTCCTGGAACTTGCTCTGTAGATCAGGCTGGCCTCGATCTCAGAGCTCTGCCTGCTTCTGCCTCCTGAGTGCTGGGATTAAAGGCACGAGCTATCAGTTGCTGAGTTTAGTTCATGAGGGAGTATGGCCTGAGAGAAGGCTGGGAGGCAGGGCCTGAGGCACAGAGCTCAAGGCCACTGATGAGGAGGTTCAAGGCAAGTGGGCAACACTCAACTTTCACTCACTTTGTTTCAAGCCTAACAGTTTTCACAAATCCACTGAGACCAAGAAGCCAAGCAGGATGCTCAGACTTACAGTGTTTTTGTTTTCTTTCTTTTTTTTTTTTTTTGGCATTGGGAAACAAACTTGTCACCAGGTGGGCACTATGACTTAGCTGCACCCTCAGCTGCCAGGCTATGGTTTTAAGAATGGATCCAGTGTGTAAACCCAGGTTCTGAGTCATCGTTGAGAGTTTGGAAGTATTTTGGCAAGAAAACAAATTTTTGTTTTTTCCTTCAGGAAGAATGTGTTAAAATATGTTGGCTTTGGAATTCAGCTTTCGAGATTTGAAAAGAATATGTAAAGCAGATTAGTTAGACAATAAGTAAATCTGTTAGGTAACAGGAACAAACTGACAGTTTAAGCAGGCCCTTACACATACCATGTATTTAGATCCATGTCATACAATATATAATACAATGAGCATCTCTCATACCCTCCGGGTGAGGAACCTAGTTCTTTGTGGTTGAAATGTGGCTTCGGGGGTCACACTAATAGTTTCACTACATTCCAGTGGGATGACAGTGTAGAGAGTAATGTTCCTGTCTCCCCGGGAAAGGGCATAGATCCAGAATGCTGAAACAGACATTAGGCATTGGGGTTGTGGCACTGGAGACAGTCCTGTGCAGCACCCGACTGTCTGAGCACAGGGTCGGTTGGAGAGGCAGCTCAGCGGGTTTCATGCCTCCCCACTTCTCTTCCTGGGTCCCCTGAATGAGTTACTTTTCTTGTAGCTGTGATCAAAGCCTGTCAAGGAGCCACGGGAAGGAGAAGTTGTTTATCTGGGCTCAGTTTAAGGGCATCATGACAAGGATGGCCGGGTGGCAGCAGCATAAGACAGTGGTTTGCTCACATCTGGCACCTGGTGTTCAGAGTACAGGGTGGGGTCACCCTGAAAACACCCATCTTCCTGTCAAGCAGACACATTTGAACATGTGCATATATGCGTGCGCGTGTTGCACACACACACACACACACACACACACACACACACACACACACATGCCTGGGTTGATATTTACGCACTCTCTAGATTCCTTGCAGTGTGTCACTGTGGGTCATCTATACCTCCCCTTCCCTCCCCAGAGCTAAGTCACTGATCTGACCAAAGAGCAAGGTCTCCTTGGTGCTCACTGTTCCTGCAGAATCTCATTGACTCTAAGCTATGTCTGGACCCCCTTTTTTCTGTTCTGTTGAATTAAGTGTGTTTGCATTTTCTCAGACCCAAATGGGGGTACCCCTATCATCCCCAAAGACCAAGGGACCATTTCAGAAGAGATGATGGGAGGATTGTAACAGTTGGAGGCCAGGGTAGGAGCCCTGTGAAATGCTGTCTTCTGGATATGGCATGACGTGACACGATGTGGTGTTCACCTGCACACAGTAGCTGTGTTATCTGCATACGGCCTGCACACACAACAAGACGGGGCTAATCGGGAGGAAGAAGAGGGGTCTGCAGGGGCGAGCAGCAAATTAGGGAGGCCGATGAAGCACAGACATGGTCACAATATCCTTCATACGTGTGTGAAACTCTCAAAAGAGCTGAGGATGCTTGGCATTGAGCCAGAAGCAGTGTAAGATGGTCTTCTCTCAAGAGTGACCCGTGTGAGGTCACTGAGGAGAGTTACCTCAGGCGTGTCTGGGAGGGTGTGTCCAGGTCTTCAATTGAAGATGCAGGATCTTGCCAGTGGGCGGCACCACCTGTCTCATGGGCTGGTAATAAAAAGAGAAAGTGAGCCGAGCCCCGCCCCCCCCAACTGAGTGCAATGAGGCCACCTTCCCTCCCTTGCCCTGGCTTCCCTCCCTCAGTGAACTGTATCCCTTGAGCTGTGAGCCACAGTAAGCTTTCCCCCTAACTGCTGTAAGTAGCTTGTGGGAAAATATTTTAAAATGTAGATAACCAAAGCAAATTTTAGAATTCCTATTGTCCCCACCTGCATTTCAGACACCAGTAAAGAGCTCATGTGTGATTTAGTGCTGGCCCAGGTATTTAACGTTGTGTTTGGGTTTACTATTATTTAGAGAACCCAATATCACCTCTAATTTCATGTAATTATTCATCAGCATCTTGGAAGCTTGCCTCACACTACAGTACGACCCCGATGGCCATAAACGCGTGTAAATCAATATATAGCTCTAAAGTGACACACTGCAGAGGACTTTTACTTTAGTTAATTGACTACCCAATAGCAAGGCATCATTCCGAAAGACCACAAAAAAATGATGCTGGCGTTATAATTAGATTTGTGTAACCAATATCATTTTCAAGGACTAGGTATGTTCCGGTAAATTTTGCTCAAGGCAAAAGCCACTTTCTAATCGATGGATTTTCTCATCTGAGAAACAGAGGTGCATTCCCAAGGAGAAACCCCGAGAAATAGAAAACCTTTGGTCATTGAAATAGAAAACCTTAGTGCTAAGGGTCTATCTATACACAGAATGAGAAAACCAGTGATTGTGGTTTGGGATATAGGAGTGAGAATGAAGGGTGAGGGAACAGGCTGGAGAGACGACGGCTCAGCCAGTCAGAGCACTGACTGCTCTTCTACAGGGCCTGGGTTCAGTTCCCAGCACCCACACAGGGGCTCACAACTGCCTGTAACTCCAGTTCCAGGATATCTGACGCCCTCTTCTGGCTTCTTTGGGCATTGCATGCATGTGGTGCACAGACTCACACGTATGCACACAAATAATAAATATTAAAAAAAAGAACAGGGAGAAGACTAAATAGTGCATAACTGAAACTCCCCATAGTGTTCTGTCTCTCACGGTTACAATAACATTTTGCCCGGCGTTGGTGGTGCATGCCTTTAATCCCAGCACTCGGGAGGCAGAGGCAGGAGGATCTCTGTGAGTTCGAGGCCAGCCTGGTTTACAGAGCGAGTGCCAGGATAGCCTCCAAAGCCACAGAGAAACCCTGTCTCAAAAAACTAAAAAAAATTATATATATATATGTCCACAGTTTTCTCTACCACAGGGCCTTTGTGGGTGCCACTCCGTTGCTTGGCAAGCCTCTCCTGGCGCTCCCAAGGTTGCTGTCCTTACCTCCTTTTCATCCTTGCTCACACATTGCTTTTTTTTCTGCCTCCCTCGTCTCCATCCTTGGTTTCATGTCGCTCATCCACGTGTGAAAGCATGTCTGTCTTCTCATTTGCTCTCTTTTATCTCATAGCGTGATCCCCAGAGCTTTTGACGCCATCATGAAACAGTTATTGCATGGCTGAATCTAATTAATAATTCGAGTTACCATGTGATCCTATTTGATTGCTCCTTACTGATAAGTATGTCAAGTTTTTGCTGTCACTTATCAGAGAAGATCTTGTTGGTCATTCTAGTGTCAATCTGAGGAAAACAAACAAACAAGACAACTGGAGCCCATGTAGGGCATTCAAACAATGGCTGCACCGATCTCAAGTCCCAGGAGTACGGCAGTCACATACATTTTAAAAATTATTATTATTGTTTATTATTTATAGTTATAACTTCTGGTGAGAGTCAGAGAGGCTCCTTGCAGGCTGGTGAAATTCTAAGTTACCATGACGTTAAAAACTATAGTTAGATTTCCTTTTCTCACTTACAAGGGTGTCAGTACCCATTTAGAAAATAGTGATTAGTGACATGACTTTTAATTAATTAATTAGTTAGTTATTTGAAGTATTGAGGATGGAACCTTGACCCTTGCACATGCCAGGTGAGTGACCTCTCCCAAAGCTCTGCCCCAGCCCTCGGTCACAGTTTGAGTTACCTGACTGTGGATACCTTTACTTCCCTCCAGGAATTCTCTTTACTGAGGCGTTATTTACTTGTTTTTCTTCTGACAAGCTTCGGCTGGGTTGTCCGGTGGCTCAGGTGATCCTGGCTGCTGCCCCCCAGGGAGCTGCGCTTGCAGGCAGTGTGCTCCACAGGTTCTGATGCCTCCTCCTCCCTACAGGAATACATCGCTAAGAACTTCTGCGTTATGCAGTCCCAGATTGGCTATGATATTCTGGCCGAAGATACGATCACAGCCTTGTTACACAACAACCGAAAACTACTGGAGAAGCACATTACTGCAAAAGAAATTGAGACCTTCGTCAACCTGCTCAGGAGGAACCGGGAGCCCAGGTCTGTGCTCTGGGGGATGGAAGAATGGGGTTTTTGTTTTGTTTCTTTAAGATAAAAAAGGTGAGCATCTATTGTAGCACTGACTCTTGGTGGGCAGACGAAGCGTTTATTTCCATGATAACGGTGTGTGTAAAGCAGTTCTGCTTCTCAGGTGATCAGCATCCTTTAGAGACACTGTTGATGTGTCTCCTTGGTGCTGGGGAGCCAACCTAAGGCTCACACTGGCTAGAAAAGTGATTGGCTGCTGTACAGCACCCCAGCCCTAGACTGGCATTTAAATGTACTCATTTACTTCTATTCGGTTTTCCAAAATACATTCATGTATTTTCACACCTGTAATCCCAGCTTCTCAGGAGGCTGAGACAGGAGGATTACAAGGCTAGAAATGGGGTTATGACAGTGAGTTTAAGAACAGCTAGTAGGGCCCTGTCACAGTTGAGGAGTTAGCCCAGTGGGAGAATGTGGGGCTCAAGGACTAATCCCCAGTAATGCAAGAAGAAGCCAGAAGCCCAAAATGTGTTCACATAGACTCACTCAGGTGCCCAGATTGCAGATGTGGGCCACATGTGTCCTAGGAGAGATGAATGATGACTGACACATTTATGGGCCATGGCACCGTGTTGTGGTGTCTAAAGGTTGGGCACTCCTGATGGGGCACTTCATTTAATAATATACAGTGCATTCTGACTGCTACCTAGATTTTAATAAAATCAAGCAAATGACTTATTATCTATTTCTTTTTTGGTGCTGGGAACTGAACCTAGGGGTGTTCAGTTTTATTTTCCTTTATTTTTCCTCTCACAATTGTAGGCCTAGCTAGCCTAGAACTCACTGTATAGCCGGGGTTGACTTTCCCTCTAAGGCAATCCTCCTGCTTCAGCCTCCCGAGTGTTGGGATGATAAAAGTGACCACACATTTGGGGTTACCCAGCTTCTACCTTCACTTAGAAGGAGAAATGAAAGACAAGCAATTAGAAAGGGGGTGCCGGGTCATAGGGGCTACACATTCTCTTTCACTCCATGCTGCCTTAGATGGCAACAGTGAACACAGAAGCCAAGAACACCCACTGTGCTTTCTCTGTCTAGTCCTCTAACAGTAAAATACTAGGTGGACAGCGGCCTCCCCTTTGACCAACCATCCTCTCTTGAAGGGTGCTCCCTAACCCTGTATATATTCTGAAGTGTGCTCCCCAACCCTGTCAGTTGCTACTTGGTTTTGGAGACACTCAGGGAGGATGAGTCATTGTGCTGATGGATGTGCATCACCTAAAACACAGAAGCAAACGTAACCCATTCTGAACAAGGCTTATACGTAACAGAAAGAATTGTCTATTCTGCTTTTAATGGTGCAGGAGACGAACAGCACACAGGAAAACACGGCACTGAAACAATGTTAAATTTAGCTTCTTTTATTCAATTCCAAATTACATTTTTGTTGCGACGATTCTATGAGGATGCTTTGTCGTGCTGGCGAGATGCTGTTGTTAGTGTGTGGAAGCCTTTGCCAGGGAAGCCTGAGGGCCCACGTTCTGTCCCCAGATGTCTGGTAGAAGAGGACAGGGACACTTGGCACACTCTGTGATAGCAGCTGTCACACTAGCAGCTGTCACACAGCAAGATGGGAGGAGGAGGCAGGACAGTCAGCGGGAAATCTGGGCCAGGTCAACACAGTCCAGCAGAAGCAGGAGACCTTGCCTCAAGACGGAAGGACAGAACTGACCCCTGAAAGTTGACCTCTCACCTCCACGAATACCATGGCTTGCCAGAACCCATGTCCTGACATGGGCGCTCTTTAAAAATTAAAAAAACAAACAAACAAACTTAAATTGATGAGTGGAGGCACTCAAGATGCTCTGCTTGCAAACATGAAATTGTTGGAGAGTCACTAAAAGACAATCTGTTGAAACATAAAAATGAAATGCTCTTTTTTTTTTCACGTCCACTTTCCTCCTCCTAGGTTTCTGGACTATCTGTCTGACCTCTGTGTGTCCAACAGCACCGCCATCCCTGTCACTCAGGAACTCATCTGCAAGTTCATGCTGAGCCCCGGCAATGCAGACATCCTCATCCAGACAAAGTAAGCTGCCCACGGAGGTGTCTGTTGGACATCCCTCACCACACGTGTGTGCTGCCTCATAGACTTTGTGTGTCTTTGTCTTCCAGGCTAGTGTCCATGCAAGTGGAAAACCCCATGGAGAGCTCCATCCTTCCCGACGACATTGAGGACGAGGAGGTGTGGCTCTACTGGATTGACAGCAACAAGGAGCCTCATGGCAAGGCCATCAGGCACCTCGCCCAGGAAGCCAAGGAAGGCACCAAAGCTGACCTAGAAGTTCTGACCTATTACAGGTACTGGGGACACGCGCACTCTCCATCAAATATCTGAAGGGAGCTGGCGTAGTTTGTCGTGCCTGGGAATCAAGATTCGCTAGACCCAGTACAGGTTAAAAAAGGCTTATTCAGAGAGAGAACACAACACTGGAGGCAGGCGGCTGCCGCAGGTTCTGGCTCCAAGCATCCTCCCAGGCTCTATTCTGTCCCCAGGTCAGCAGCCAGAGAGGAAAACCAACCTAAAACCTCCCCTCCTGTACATACCTGTGACCACTCCCAAATGGGTGTGGTCAGCGACACAGGTGCATAGTTAGGTCTTTCATCACAAGGTTCTCTCAAACCTCTAGGAATTAGAGACGAAGAAGAGGGCACTTGAAAACTCAGAAAGAGAGGAATGGAGACGGTCAGGGCCACCTAGAGATCTCAGAATGAAAGCTAACACATGTTTCCTGCTTGCACTCTCTGATGAGTTGGGGACTTGTCAGTAAGGCGTTTCTTCCTGTTACCTATGGGAAGTCGGGGCTGGTGAGAAGCAATAGGACCTTGACTGTGGACTGAGGGGGAGGAGGCACTGGGATGAGACAGACGTGGCCACAGGGGTGGCCCTCACAGACATGGCAAGATGGGATCTTGTGAGCGTGTGCTCCTTGGCACTTGACAGGTGCAGGTGCCTGTAGTTCTGGAAGGAGACCCGTGTTGATTAGCAAAAGCAGGAGAGGTGGTTCCCAGGGGTCAGTGTGTTGGGATCAATAACTGAGCCAGAGGGCTGGCAAGAGGTCTCAGCCAGTGGAAATGCTTGTCACATAAGTCTGACGATTCTGGAGGCACCACACCCCCACTTCAACAGAGGCAGGGGAGGGTGGAGAGAGGTGGCTTCATGTGACTTACTGTCCATTCCAGGCCTGGTGCACTGGGTGTTAGGGCTGAAATCCTAGCCATGAGAGGGGTTGTAGTAACAGGGACAGTGTTAGACCCGTGCTGTCATCTGCTCATGGCCAAAAGAGTTTGGCTCAGTGTCGTAAGGACTTACAAACACATCTGCACACCCAGCAGCTGGCTGTGTTGTGCTTTGTTGTGGAGGGGCCTTAACGGAGGCAAGAGGGATAACGTAACATGTCTCATCCTTTAGGTACCAGCTAAACCTCTTCGCAAGGATGTGCTTGGACCGCCAGTATCTGGCCATCAACCAGATTTCAACACAGCTTTCCGTAGACCTGATCCTTCGCTGTGTGTCTGATGAGAGCCTGCCCTTTGACCTCCGAGCCTCTTTCTGTCGACTCATGCTCCACATGCACGTTGACCGGGATCCCCAGGAGTCTGTGGTGCCTGTCCGCTACGCCCGGCTCTGGACCGAAATCCCCACAAAGATCACGATTCATGAGTATGTTTGGAAACTATTTTTTAAAAATTATTTGTTTTATGTGCATTGGTGTTTTGACTGCATACATGTCTGTGAGGGTGTTGGGTCCCTTGGAACTGGAGGTAGAGACGGTTGTGAGCCACCATGTGGGTGCTGGGAATTGAACCCAGGTCCTCTGGAAGAGTAGTCAGTGCTCTTAACCACTGAGCCATCTCTCCAGCCCCAGTTAGTTGTGATGAAACACCATGACCAAAGTAACCCGGGGAGGAAAGGGTTTATTTGCCTTTTGCTTCCCGTCATCTTCACCGTTGAAGGAAGTCAGGATAGGAACTCAAGCAGAGTAGGAACCTGGAGGCAGGAGCTGATAAAGAGGCCATGGAGGGTGCTGCTTACTGGCTTGCTCCCCATGGCTTGTTCAGCCTGATTTTTTAAAGAACCCAGGACCCGGGCTCACAGGGATGGCTCCACCCACAGGGGCCTGCCCCTCCCCCATCTGTCACTAATTAAGAAAATGCCCTACAGTCTTGCCTATAGATGGATCTTAGGGAGACAGTTCCTCAGTCGAGGCTCCCTCCTCTCCAGTGGCTCTAGCTGGTGTCAAGTTTACATAAAACTGTCCAGTACATTGTATTTATTACTTTTCTCATAGCTGACAAGAAACAGCTTTATTGTGGTGCACAGTTTGAGGGACCAGTCGTCATGGCGGGGCCTCGAGGCAGCGTCACCTTGAATCTTTTCTCAGGGGCAGAAAGATCTCACTTCTGATTTTTTCCTCTCTATCTAGTAATGGTTTCAATCCCAGGGAACGGTGCTCTCCACACTCAAAGTGGGCCTTCCCTCTTCAGTTAATTGGTTCTGGAAATATCCTCACAGATGTGCCCAGAGGTGTGTTTTCTAGAAGATTCTAGATCCTGCCAAGTTGACAGTGAGGATGAGTGTTCCAAAGTCAGCAGATGAAAGCCAAGTCAAAGTGACTTTAACTTTGAAAAGAAAAACACAGGAAGGGATTTGCCCATTTCTGTTCACAGTGTTCACCTGGGAAGGGTCAGTAAGATGCCCTGTCTTGAGGGCAAAATGATAGCTCCTCAGCAGGAAACGTGTTCCCGGAGGCTAGTAAACAAAAGTCCTAACACTCACAGCTGAGTGTGTGACACCTGGCAGACTCCACCGCACTTGTTCCATCTCAGTTGGCAGTGGCCCCTGCCACAGACAGGATGTGTACCCCAAGAAGTTGACTGATGTGTCCAAGGCAGAGCACTGTGGGAGTATGAATAGATAACATCCCCACTGTGGGTAAGGCAAAGCACTCTGGGTGTCAGAATAGGTAACATCTCTACTGTGTGCAAGGGAAAGCATTCTGGGAGTCAGAATAGATAAAAGCCCCACTGTGTGCAAGGCAGTGCACCCTGGGAGTCAGATAGATAACACGCACACTTCTCATTGTTTCTCATCAGCTTAACTCACTCTTGTGTCATCTGCCCAGGTATGACTCTACCACAGACTCCTCCAGAAATGACATGAAGAGGAAATTTGCCCTCACAATGGAATTTGTTGAAGAATATTTGAAAGAAGTTGTAAATCAGCCATTTCCTTTTGGAGACAAAGAGAAAAATAAACTGACATTTGAGGTATTTAAAAATTTTAAATATTTTCTTTGTGCCTGGTGCCCACAGGTCAGAAGGGGACATCAAATCCCATGGAACCAGATGATGGAGAGCCATGTGGGTGCTGAGAACCAAACCCAGGTCCTCTGGAGGAGCAGCCAGTGCTCTCAGACACTGAGCCGTCTCCCAGCCCCACTTGAGGTGTTTTAAAGAAATAGTCACTCCTGGCATGATTGTGTGTTCTTGTCAGAAATGAGATGCATTGAACACCATAGATTTTCCTTCCCTCTGATATTTAGGGTATCTAGGCCGTTGAATTGTTAGGTTCAGGCAGATACAAATCTGTCTGATGATGACAAAAATATAGATTTGGCATCTATATTAACTTACTTTTGAAACTATATATGATGTGTAGAAATGCAGTTCATATGTTAATTAGACCACAATCAAGTGATGTGACACTCTTTGAATCATAAGAGAAAAGCTTCAAGTCACATAACGAGTCCCTGTCCCCTGTACAAATTTGAAAAAAACCCCACCTTTTCTTAGTGAGTTAGGTGACATATGTACTCAGTGACTAGTAATGCCTTGCCCCAGTTATACTAATGGACAATAGAATTACAAATAAAAGCTCATTTTATTTTAATTCTTGTATGCCTTGATAATTAAAATGTTCTATCTCAATTATCAATTTATTATAGCTTTCCTTGTTTTATTTTTCTTTCATATATGTAAATTTTGTTGTACTTGGTAAACAGTGACAGTTTTAGATACTTTGTATTTAGATGTCCTTCCCCCATCTTCACGGGAATGATGAGTTAGCCTCATTGACATGAATTGAAATTTGAAGACAATGTAATAGCAAAACCAGAGAGAGAACACTGTCACACCATACCTGGTGTGTTAGCTGTCCACTGTCATGAGAGATCTCACCCCCAGTGTGGCAGCCCAAAGTAAACTTCAGTTCTGCGAGTCACAAGCCTGGGTATGGTATGGCGGTGTCTGTTCAGTCACTACTGGAAATGCTTGCCATTTCTGCCTCGCTCAGGTGGATGCTGGTGGCTCTGCTTCTGTGCTGGCTTGTCCACACACCTCAGCTGTTTGCCACATGGCTTTTCTGTGGGCTGAGTGTTCCATGAGTGTACCTGGCTTCCCACAGAGTGAGAGCAAGAAAAACGAGAGAAGGAGAGAGTGAGAGAGTAAGGAGGGGAGAGAGTGAGAGGGAAGTAGAGAGGGGGAGAGGGAGAGGAAGAGAGAAAGGGAAGGGAGGGGAAATAGAGAGAGTGAGAAAGGGAGAGAGAATACTTAAATGCAGTGTCTAACCTTGGCTAACCTTGATATGGCGCAGCATTTCTGCTGAGGCACACGCCAATCTGACACATCGTGGGAGGACAGCTGACATTGGAGCCGTGTCTTGGAGGCTGCATCTCACTTAATTATTTCTCTAGTACCAAGGAGGCCACAGGCCAGGATAGGGGACATAAAACTCTGGGCCAATTTATGGCTCACATTTATTAAAGTAATTTAACCACTGATTAAGTGGTATCTTCCTGACTTACATTAATTAAGTAGTAGATATTGTAACATAAACTCCTTAAATCACATTAAGGCCTCTTATGAATAGACCCTAGATTTGGATCAGTCAAAATCTGAACAGCAGCCTTTACAGGGGTTTTAAATCCTAGGTATTAAAGAATTAGGGACTTAGAAACACCAGAACCACTTTAGATGTAAAAATTGCAAGTGTTTATTCCATTTTCCAATGCTGTTCTGTCCTCTGCTCTTCCTGTGAAGGTGGTCCACCTGGCTCGGAATCTGATATACTTTGGATTCTACAGCTTCAGTGAGCTGCTGCGGCTGACAAGGACCCTGCTGGCCATCCTAGACATCGTCCAGACCCCCATGTCATCGTATTTTGAACGATTAAGCAAATTTCAAGATGGAAGTAAGAACTTTTGAGAAATGTGATAATGTTTTTGTTATTAATTAGGGGTGAGATAAAAAAGCAAACATAGAGAAGCAATCCACACAGGCACTGGCTCTTGATGGGTTACATGATAACAGGGTGGGCATTCAAGCAGTTTCCTTTAATAATACTGGTGTGTGTGTGTGTGTGTGTGTGTGTGTGTGTGTAGGTCTGAAGCGGACTTCAGTCAGTGTCCATTTTGACTGCTGTCTACTTTATTAATTGAGGCAACATTTCCTGATAAACTCAGAGTGCACTCATCCCGGCTACTCTAGGTATTGCCCTAGGGAGCCCCTTGACTCTGCTTCCAGGAGTGCTGGGGCTGCACAGCTACTGTGCCTGCTTGGCTTTGCCATGGGTTCTGGGGATCTGAACCATCAGACTTTTGGTAGTGTCCATATAATAACCATACATTTTTTGGAATGGTGATTACATTCAGATGGAAAGTTGTTTCTAGGAGTTATAAGGGAGTGTGTATGCTGGACATAACCCTGTGAGGATGTCAGAGGAGGAGGCTTGGGCAGATGAGCAGATGTTCAGTACTGAACTGAGACCTCAGGTCAGCACGAGTTGTCTCACACGGAGATAAGAGGGTCAGATATGTCTTTGTGGCAGTCATTCATTAGCTTCTGGCTTCATTGTGGAAGAAGGTGTGAGACACCGGGGAAGCTGGGATACCCTGCCCAGGAGTCATGTTGAGTGACACAGTGCTGAAGCTGTCGGCTGGGGGAAGGGCCTCTGCACGGAGCACAGTAATGGCCACAGTAGTACCCAGGACATAATGGAAAAGGAAAACCAGATTTCCAAGTTCAGGCATAAAGAGGGACTGTCTGTCTGATCAGTAATTTCAAATGAGGGTTTTACAGAAAAGCTGAAGGAATGAATTGCTGTTACCCCAATCTCAGTCTCTTTAACATAGCACACGCACACGCTCGCACGTGCTCACACACACACACAGAGACACACAGACACACAGACACACACACAGAGACACACAGACACAGACACAGACACACAGACACACACACACTGACACACACAGACACACAGACACACAGACACACACACACACACACACACACACACACACACAAAACATTTAAGTCCTTCACCTTCAGGGCAGCTTGAGTCCCTAGTCCAGCAAAGACTTAGTTACTGCAGCAGAAACAGTGATGGTCTGAACAGTTATTCTGAGAGCTCCAACTACTAGGATCTCTAGGGAAAATTTTGTGTAGCTTTTACATGGACACATGTCTCTTTACTCTGGGAGCAGGCACTGATGACAGAGCAAAGGGATAATCCTATTCAAATCTAGCTCAGTGACCAGTGAGTTACTGTGTTACTAACAGGAGTATGTGTGACTCAAAAACTTACCCAGCATGGGCAGCTCAGGCAAGCTCACCCCTGGAGCTCCCTTACAACTTCCTGGCAGCCAGGCAGAATGGAGCCATCTCCCCCACCCAGCAATTGCTTATTGCATCTATAACCTCAGTGAGGGGGTTTATGGATTATGTAAAGTTTCAGAAACTTCCTGAGTCTTGTGTGTTTCATTTACTTCCTTTGTCCTATGAGTTTTCCTCCTCTCTCTGGGAGGGAGTGTCTCAATTTGGGGGAAGCATGCACACACTGTGACTGTCCTCATAGGCTCAGGTGTTTGAACACTGGCTTCACAGTTGTTGTGTCACTGAAGAAGAATCTTGTTGGAGGAAGCAGGTTACTAGGAGAGAGCACTGACGTTTATGGCCAGGCTCCACTTCCTGTCTGTGGAGACGTGAGAAGTTGGTGCATCACGTTTCTACCTCCATGACTTCTCCACCATGACAGGCTGTGCCTCTTCAAACTGTGAGCCAGGAAAAATCCTTCCTTCCTTAAAGAAATAAAAGGGGGTTGTGTGATAATCACCCCAGAAAGTCGAAATACCGAGAGAGTCACATAGATGAGAACACATAGAGAGGAAGGGACCTAAAAGTTCCGGGTGGAGGCTTGGGAGCTTCTAGAACGAGTAAGTCTGGAAGTGGGGAGAAAGGGGACAGACCCTTGAGTTTTGTGTGCAGAGAGAACAAGGACTACGTGAGTCTGAGCAGCGTCACGTGGAGAGAGAGAGAGAGAGGGGGGGGGGAGCATGTCTGTGCCCCCTCCAGAGCCACTTAAGAGAAGTGTGCTGAGCGAGCTAAGCTTCCACTTCCAGGCCCCAGAGCAGGTGAGCATGCCCAAGACCCTTGACGCTTAAGCCAGACAAAATCCCAGCATGCAGAGGGAAGGTGGGCACAAAGTTTCACTCCGAGCTGAGAAGCCATCGATCACTGACAGCTGCTGGGAGAGGGACAATCATGTTTCTTTGAGGGTGTGGTCCTTGCTAAGTTATTCATGCTCTGGTGGATGTTCCCATACCCAAGTCTACGGGAGAGGTACAAATTGTACTTAATGAGTTAGGAAAAATTAAAGGACATGAAGTTGTGTGTGTGTGTGTGTGTGTGTGTGTGTGTGTGTGGCAGATCCTGGAGGAATTTGTGGGAGAGAGAAGAATATGATCAAAAAACACTGTACAAAATTCTCAAAGAACTAAAAAAAAACAAATAAACAAAACCCCCAACAACAACAATAACAACAACAAAACAACAACCAAGCCAGTAAAGAAAAAGAATTCTCTTAGAGACTGGGAGCTGGCCACAGTGCCCTGTCTCTTACTGTAAAGGGGGCATTCGGATCCTCACACTCATCCATCTAACACAGCTTATTGGCTGGGCTGTCAGTCAGGGAAAGAAATACTGTTTTCAAGCAAGGGCATTGGCTCTTGGCCCTTTGCCTAGCATCATACCGTCATTCGCTGTCTGTGATTTAAAAGCGCTGACGGTGGAACTGATCGTTTGGATTGAAGAATTGTTTCAGGAGGCACTTTTTTTTTCTTTGTCACACATAGAAGTGACAAAAAACAGAAGAACTTAATGGCCAACACATGGGACGTCTGGGGAATTATTTGCAAGTGGCACATTTATTAAATTATACAATTGTTTTCTTTTTATAGCAAAGGAAGTACAATCCAAAGATTTTGTTGTTTTCCTTTTCATGCATGCATAGTGTATGCATATGGTGTGTGTTTGCATGTGTGCGTGTTTGTGTATGTGGTGTGTGTGCATACATGTGAGTGCACACGTGTGTGCATACGTATGTGAGCACATGTGTGTGTTCGTACATGTGTGCGCACACATGTGCACACATCTGGGGGTGTGCAGCATGTGGCGGCCCAAGGTTGACGCTGGGGACCACCCTCCATTACTCTTCTATCACACTCCTTGAGGCAGGTATCTCAGTCAAACCCAGAGCTAATCAGTACGGATACGGATGTTCTCACTAGCTAGCTTCTCTGTGGTTCTCTCTGCCCTCTGAGGTGGAATTATACCTGACTTGTAAGTATTTGATCCCAGATCCTCATAGTTCTGCAGAAAGCACTTTAACCATTGAGCTTTCTTTCCAGTCCCAGACTTGACTTTCTCCTGATGCTAATGATAAAGGCTGCTCCACAACTGTGGGTCTCACTGCACCCACCCTTCCCTCCCCTCATTCTCCTCCTCCTCCTCTTTAAAAAAATCATATTCACGCATACATGTGCTGCGATTAGGTCAACCCCACCCTCGTTCCATTCCAGCCAACTCCTTACCTATCTCCCCAGTTTATCTCTCCTAACATTACGTGTTTCCTCTCTTATTTTGTTTGATCTTTGATGTTATTTTTAATTAAACATTTAAAATTACTTTGCTTCACTCTCCCCTTTCCTTCTTCCAGTCCTTCCCCCACACCTCTACTCTCCTCCTCAAATTGATGGCTCCTTTTATTATTGTTGTTATATACATGCACAAATGCATGCATTTGCAAATACAACCTGCCCAGTCTATTTAGACTGTCCTGGGTATATACGATTTCAGGGCTGACCACTTGGTTGTTGGATAACCAATTAGAGGCTTCATTCCCAAGAGAAGCTAAGTTATGCCTCCCTCAGTGGTCACTAGTTGCCTGTGGTTCTTTGTTTAGGAGCTGGACCCTGTGTGATTTCCTTCTGTGTTAGCATGTTTATTGATGTTTTCATTGTTTAGGTCTTGTTTAGGAAGCCATATTGTTGACGTATCATGGGTGTAGCTTCCTTGTCGTTTCTACACAATTTCACAGTAGACTTCCTGGTCCTCTGGCCCTTAAAATCTTCCTGCTCCCCTCTTCCAAGATTCTTCCTAAGCCTTTAGGGCAGGAGTTGTGTGGCAGATATACCCACTGGGAATGGCACCCCACAATCAGTTGACCTTTGCAATTTGACCGTTTGTGTTTTTCTGTGATAGTATCTGCTTGCTGCGAAGAGAGGTTTCTTTGATGTGGGGTGAGACCTACACTTATGTGTGGGTATAAAGAGTTAGAAATCATGCTGGTCTAGTCAAATGGCGGTGGTAGGTTCTCCTCTGAGATGCATGATATCACTAGACCTGGGTAGTGGGCTCTGTTTCTGGTAGATGGGCATGATTTCACTCCCATCGAGCAGTCCAATTAGACAGCTGTTGGTTAACTCCAAGATAAGGATACCATTATTGCATCTTTAGAGATTGTCTTACTTTTCTGTTGTCATGAGATAACATCATGACCACCACAACTTATAAAAAGGAAGTATTTAATTTGGGGTTTACAGTTCCAGAGGGTTAGAATACATGACTGTCATGCCCAGGGAGCATGCAATTGGGCCGGCAGGCGGGCGTGGGCCTAGAGCAGTACCTGAGAGCTCAGAGCTTATGTCTGATCCACAAATACTAGGCAGAGGGAGCTAACAGGGAGGTTGCAGTCTTTTGAAAAGTCAAAGCCTACGCCCAGTAACACACCTCCTCCAACAAGGCCACACCTCCTAATCCTTCCCCAAACAGTTTCGCTAACTGGGGACCAAGCATTCAGATACATGAACCTGCGGGGCCATTTTTATCCAGACCACCACAGGGGTATTTTGC